GATAGATAGATAGATAGATAGATAGATAGATAGATAGATAGATAGATAGAAATCGTTCGACAGTGCTCATTCGGTGGATGTTAATCCTATTTCCTCTCCACATGTTGAAGTGTCCTTTTGAAAGATGAGTTAAATCAGGGGCTGCTTCACACTGTTGGGAGCTTTCATCACCACCAGTGTAAGAGCCCTTAACAAACTGTACAAATGTCCACCCTGAATCTAATGTAGGTGAAAGTGCCAGGTAAAAAAAAATCATTTTCCTTAGATTTTTGGTGCATGCTGTCACATCTGGCTGTGTGTTTATGACGTATTTGTGAGTTGAGACATAGAGTGACAAGGCTGACTGTTGTGTGCATAACACAGGCATTCATTTGAACTTCCACACAATTTCTGCTTCAATCTGCCACACATGTGCATTCTTATACTGCCTCCTACTGTCCGAATACAGCTTCTACAACTGTCCATCACTAGGCTAAAAACGTAGCATGTTTTTTTATTTTCATTTAAAAGGAAACCTCTACCTTTAGAAGTTGTCTATAGATTGATGGGTTACCTTAAGATAGCAAACAGATTTCTACAAACATTTCAAACTAGTCCTTTTGAATCTATATTTGATATATTAGTATAGTAGAAGCAGGTTTATTTTAGATTTTTATTTGGATTGCATTTACAGTGAAGAACTTCAGTTGTGTAGGTTTCCTTATTTTTTCTCAAGTCAAAATCTGAGAAAAGATTTGTTTGTTATGCACTGAAGATTTGGAGTTTCCATGTCTGGATGTGTGGCTGAAATGTGGCTTAATCATTACTCGTGTCTCCGTGCAGCAGCAACAAACAGCCCAATTAATGGAGCATTCGGCATTCCTCGCTTTTATACGGGGTCACAAAGGAAGCCTTTGTTGTTCCTGAGCAATAAATCAGAGGCAGCAGTGAGTCGGTGATGCTCAGTGTAACGGTGATGTTTCTCTGGTGACTCCGGCATCAATCCCATCTGACCTCCCTGGTCAACTGCTTTTTAGGAATTAGGCCTCCCCATGAAAACTGGCCTGAAAAGGGGTTAACAGTTAACCAGCAGCAGTGCTAGCCAATCAGAGAGCATGTGGAGATAGATACCAGCGTTTGTTAGGACAGAAGTGTGTTTTTAAAGGAGCCACTTTTAGATATTTTGTCCGTTTTTAACGTTGAGTTTTCTTTAAATACGCCATAAAGTAGCCCGTGCAAATCCAGTCAAAGCAGGGGAAACTTGCGAGGCTTGCTAAATTATTTTAATCTTAATGTTGTTTAGGGAGCAGAAGCTAAAACGAATTAGCTTTCCATTAAGCCATTTGAGCATCACTCAGCCGTATGCACTCAGTCACAGCAGGCTGGTCTTTAAGGTCAGACGGGTTCTCCCCCTGAGTGGAGGTGGAACAGGAAAATGAAACAGAATGGAGAAACATAAGTTTGTTCTTTTTTAAGTTTGTTTATTTATATAAGCTGCCATTCTGTGAGGGTGGACATCCCTCGACATTACAACAAGATCCCTTAATAATCTGTATACATGGTATAATCTAGAATGAATACACCATTCTTGAGTGACAGGTAAGTACAAAGGCAAAAGAATGGTTAAAAAGATTTGGATCTCTTCTTTTAACTCTCATTGTAAGGTCACAGTTGAGCTCTGAACCAGAGTTGGTTGGTGAAGATGGCAATAGTACAGGAAATGGTAAAAACTTTACAAACGTTTTCTCAAGTTTGATGGTAAAAAAGTTAAGAAATGGAAAACACCTGACGCAGATTATATAATAGTGCAGATTTTAGTGTGAGTGGGCTAAATGGCCACTGGGATGCACTGTTTATCAGTCTGAGAACCTCTGGACTCCGTAGTCCAAATGATTACCAAGCTTTGCACGCCCCTAAATGCTTAGTGCTTAAAAGGAAGTGAAACAAATATGTTGAACACATTGAAGACAAAAAAATTAAGTAAAAACATTTTTCTTGGTTGAGTTTTTACTCAGACCTGAGACTTACCATTTAACCTATTATCTGATGGACATGATTTAAACACATTCCTGTTTGAATATCAAATCTGCACTCAAGTGGACAGCATCAATTTAAGATTTCTTCCAAAAGAAATGCTGTATGTTACCATGTAAACACAGTTTGACATCTATTAAAAGATTGCAGAAACAGCATGGAACTCTTATCCAACTCTACCATTCACTGCTATCTCATCCCTGTCTGTCTCAGCTCCTCTTTTTTATTTGATGCACCAGGGTCCACTTCAGTGGTCTATGCATTTAAAACATAAAAACCCCCACACACACACATGAAAATAGCTCTCCACTGTGATAGAAAACATTCAGTGAGCACTTAGAAAATACAATCACAATACCAGGAAGGGGACTCATAGCCAACTTTTTGGACTTGGAGAGCATGGGCGCCATGCTCCCTGTGATTGGGAATGAAAGAGAAGGAAATGCACTCGGGACCTGAAGTGCTGGACGATGCTGGTCAGGGGCGGGTGAGTGCTCTGACAGAGGACAACATCGCTGTGTGTTTCCTGGTGTTTTTTTCAGCTGCAGGTGAAGAACATTGTGGGATTGCTCTGTGTTTTAAAAAAAATCCAGATTAGCAAACACAAAGTGGCCGCTGTGCACTCTAAAGTCCCAAGTAAAGAACGGCATTAGCTGGAGTTCGGGGGTTTGATTTGTGAATAAACCAGCGCTGCATCAAATTTGCTCCTGTCTCAATTCTGGCAGAGAGGGAGAGCAACATTCGTCATTTGAAGTCATGTTTTTGTCCTGCTGATGACTGTTGCTTTGTTGTGCTCTCCACTGGCTCCAGAGAGAGGAATTCGGCTCCTTAATGTTCCATTGTGGTTACCAATAAAGTTCCTGCCGGCCGCTTCATGCCAGTTGAGTAAAGTGCATCTTTTTTTCTCTCTCTGTTAAAAAAAATATGGTTGATGTGAACTCTGAAAGTGGGTTTTTAAAGTAAGACCCTTAAAAAAGGCTGAAAGGCTTTTTGATGAAGCTTGGAATTGATGAGTTTAGGAAATTAAAAGCTGGTCTGCTCAATGTTGGAATTGAATCGTTTAGATCCCCCTAAAGTCAATAATAATCACGTTATTCTCAAAGGACAGTGTTAAACAACCATTTGATTCAAAACTGTGAGTAAACCTCAAAGCATCTAACTAGACAATATTCAATAAACATCTGGAACAATAAGGCAGCCACAAATTCTTCTGCATATCATAATGATGCTGCGCAATAACCCTTAAATTATTGTTGGAGCATTAAGAAATCAGGAGCCTTTTTCCAACCGGTTAATCATTCACCTGAAGGGGGCTCACTGCTGGTTTCTGCTGTCCTCAAGTGGATAAAATCCTTTACTGCAGGTTCATTTCAGGTCTCGCCAGGAACGCAAAACACCTGACTGTGAACTTTG